GGGAACTTTTAGAAGATCAATAAAATATGTCGAAAGATAAACTTACCCTTTTGCCTTCTTTGCGGTGGGTGGCTTGAAAAGGTCCCCTAAAAATGGGAAATACTCCAGTTTAAAATGATATAATCCTGTCGAAAATGGGAGGCTTCATTTCACGCCACAAACTTACTTTATTAGTAGTTACAAAAAAATTGAAATGATACACATAAAATTAGAAACATGTAACACTATGACGCAAGCAATCATGGCTGCTTCCCCTTCGTTCTTGATTGCACTCTGACTCTAAGTCTCTCTGGTTTTATTCTAGTCCTCAGTTCATTTCAGCTCGTGAGGTTCACTCAGTTTACTTTAGTTCGTGGTGAACAGCGACGTCCTTCCACCTTGAGTTCTGGAGGAACTCAACTTATTGTTGCAGATGTTACAATTGTACTCTATGAACAGGTTTCTCAGTTCGTCCACTATGAGTGACTGTGATTTCAGGTGAGGATTCTGATTGTTATTCTAGTGGAACATGACCTTTTGGAGTCTTTGACTTTTGAATTTTTGTCATTGTCTTACAATCAGTAAGGGCTTGTTGTAAAGGTCTTGCGACGATTCCGGAATTTGTTTTCAATTTTACAATTCTAACAGTGCCATCTTTTCCATATGACAAGGTATGACTTCGACAACTGGTGCTATTGGCCATTGCAAACGCTTCAGGGTGCCAGAAACTATGAGTTCTATATCTCCAATAGAAATTGGTTTGGATATATTTTTAGAAAGATTAGCATGTTTTAGATGTCCAAGATATTCTAGTCGAAATCTTTTTCGTAGATCTCCATGTGTCTTCTGCAAGTAAAGATGTCTTTTACGAATATAAGTAGCATCAATTTTATAAATGTCTGGCACACCACTTTCTTTGTTCTTCTGTAAGAACCTCGAAGGAGAGAGAGAAATTGAGTAGTTAACATCTTCAGACAAGCAGGTCAAAGTTCGTGAATTTATAAGACTTTCAGTATCGTAAAACATTATATTATATTCTTCATAAATAAAAGAATCTTGTTTTGCGTTTCATTAGTACATGGTGGGAAGGTAGAGTATTTTGCCTTACTTTCGAAACCGAAACCTTGCTTTACCAGGGATTTTCTATCTTTACCCTCTACTTCGGATTTTAGAAAGTTCATTAAAGCAGTAAGTTTATTTGATGATTTACTAGTTTCACATAAACCTACGCTTCTTTCCCATACTCTAATAACATCTTCCGGCAAACAAGACTCAACGAGAGGGTATAACACACATGCATATTTGTCAGACGTGACGTTTAATGTCTCGAGTGCTCTCAAATGAGTTTCAATTTTATCGTACAGCTTCGCGAGTCGTATTGCTTTGTTTCGACTGTATGAATTATTCAAAATTAAGCTCAACAATTATTTCACATGTACTTCTATGAGGAGATCCTCTTTGCCGAATCGAGCTTTAAGACATTCAATTACTTGGTAATAATTGTCAGCTGACGGGGGAAAAGAATCAACGATATCTCTTGAACGCGAACCTTTAATAATGGCTTGAATTAAAGATTGAAATTTATCTTCAGGTGGAATTTCTAGATCAACGTAAATTTTTTTAAATTGACCCCAGAAGCCCAACCATTCCTTAACACCACCACTGAATTTCTTAAATTCGATTTTTGATAGGTTAAACCTCCTGTTTTGAACTGTAGCATAGTGCTGTTAATAGTGCTGTTATTAACATAATAGTGCTGTTATTCCCCGAATTAATATTTCTCCTTATTTTTAGCACCTTAGTTCTAAGCCTCACATATCTTTCACTGTACATTGTACTACCTCGTACTCTTTATCAAAACCACTTTGAGAAAATTTAGGATCATCAGATCACACTTTTGTAATTTGTTTTTCTACCAAATCAAGTTCCGACAGCTTTTCGTCTAACTGTATCATTAGGATTTCGATTTCTTCTATATCACACACTTCTTTTCCTAAACAGTCTTCCAGTTTAACATAGAATCTAATTTATTAGGTATTCCTGTGAAAACGCTTCTTAAAGGAGTATGTAATTTCTTTAGACCCTCCATATTTAGAACTTATAAATAATCATACAATAATACAAAGAATAAATTCTTCAAGCCCTCCCACCCGAGGGCGCCATTAAATATTTTAGAACATCAATAAAATATGTCGAAAGGTAAACTTACTCTTTTGTCTTCTTCACGGTGGACGGCTTGAAGAACTCCTCTAAAATGGGAAGTAATCCAGTCGAAAAATGGGAGGCTTCATTTCACACCACAAACTTACTTTATTAGTAGTTACAAAAAGAACTTAAATGATAGAAGCACATTAAATTAAAAACACGTAAGCAGCAAGCAATCATGGCTGCTTCCTCTTTGCTCTCATTCGTACTCTAAGAACATATAGTAAATTTGAGTTTCAGAAAGCAGCACCTCCTTTCACTCTGTATCAGGTGAAGAACATCGGTAAAACAAAAAGACGAAAATAAAAGTCAGGTGGCCGCCATCAGTCGACGAAAAAAGGTGAGTTTATGGTCGAAGGTCCAAATCAGTGAGCTGAAGAATCTAGTATGAGTAAAAAAAATGTTAAGGATGGAGAATGTCAGATGGATATTTGTGCTTTTCTCTGGGAAATGGAGAACATCTAAGAGAGTTGCTACAGTTGTGAGGATGAGTGAGAACTGAATAAAAGAAATTTCTGGCAAGTTTTGGATATAATCTTGAATTGTATATACTTTGAGATCACGGTGGATATACGAATTTGCAGTGAACCATGGCGTGTTGATTATCACTCTGGGTGCTTTCTTTTGAAGAACTTGATGTTGAAGGTGAGTTTTGGCTGCGTGGCCACAGACAAGACTAGCATAGAGTAATGCTGGTCGAAGTATAGATTTATATAAGAGGAATTTATTAGAAGCGGGCATATGACTTCTTCTGCCAAGAAGTGGGCGCATAGTTGCAGGCGTGATATTAATTTTTTTCAGTTTCCCTGAGATGTTTCTGAAAAGTCAATTGTTTATCAAGAATGGCTCCTAGATATTTAACTTCGCCAACCCAGTCAATTTCTTCATCAAACAGAAGAAGTCTAGGTGGCGTGAAATTTGTTTGGCCTTTGCGAAAAATTATTGCTTTTGATTTTTTGGTATTAACTGCAATCCTCCACAGAGTGAGCCAATTTTCTAGATGATTGAGGTAATGTTGAAGAAGGAGCCGGACAACAGTAACAGTAGAAGCCTGGGCCATAATTGCAGTATCATGAGCGAAAAGAGCAATTGTAATTTAGGGGGTCTTAGGAATATCGTAAATGTAAATGTTATATAAATATGGTGAAATTACAGATCCTTGGGGCACTCCAGCGAAAAGATTTCTCGTGGAAGAAACAGAACTACCAATTTTCGCTGCAAAGATTCTGTCTTGGAGATAGGAAACAATAAGTATAATACAATGATCGAAGAAGTTTAACTTGATAAGTGTCTCTCTCGTTTTATTTTAGTCCTCAGTTCATTTCAGTTCGTGAGGTTCACTCAATTTACTTCAGTTCGTGCTGAGCAGCGACAGGTACTGATCTACATCCGGCTCGACGGACTACTCTCTACGGAGTGTATACCGATAGTGAATAATTTTATTCTCCCAAGTATATACAAAAGATGCCGCTAGAGGGCTGTGGTGCATAAGTGTAGCTAATGACATAACAGAATATATTATTTGAATCTTAAAATTCACAATTTTAAGTTCATAAAAATATCACCTTACACTTTTCAAAATAAAATCTTAAACTCAGGATTCCATTTTAAATTTCTTTTCAAATCGTTGCCATCCATAGTTTCAAAACAAAGAATAATTAAATTAAGTATTTTGATATTTAAGTCTTTTTTCAGATATTGAATCAATAGTTTTGTGGGTTAACAGTGCGTATAAATGTTTGAATATACATGCCAGAAGAGAAAAAAAAAAAAAAAAAATCTGAAATGTTTCAGATTTTAAATTACGTCCAAAGGGGCGTTTTTTAACATTTTGTGTGTTACCTTTCTTTATTAAATATCATGTTCCTCGCACTTAAACCATAAGATCCAGTGCAACAGCAATATCGCAAAATAGTTTTAAAACGAGCATATCTTTAGAATTTCCGATACAGAGACTCACGCGCTGGAGATAAAAATGTTTTTTCTGCACAACGTTGCCATTGCTCACTTTGAAATCCTTGAGTTTGTTAATCAAAAATTCGTCAAAGTTTTAAAAAATAGGAAATCGATCATAAAACAAATTTCAAATTTCAAATTTGGTCTTCCACATGCTCATATTCGTTGGAGGATTACGTTATTCAAAATTCGATGACTCTATGTACCGTTGTTTTATCACAATACGAGAAATATACATACATTTACGCAGATTTTTCATTATTTAATTTCTTCAAATATAATGCAGGACTCTAACATTTTGTGGCAACAGTTTGAAAAGTGAACCGACATTTATGAGTCCGACGCAAAAATGCCAAAACGAAACTAATAGTCCTTCGGGATTCAAATCCCTTTGGACTAAAAAAAAAATAGCCAAAAGTTTGGAACCTTTTCCACAGCCCCAGTAATAATATTTGCAGGTGAAGACGTCGGAAGCAAATCATTCGAATAACTTTATAAATTTACATTCCAAATATAAGTAACATTGCGAATATAAAAAAGTATGGCGACGATTTACATTCTGTAAAAGTGAAATTTGCGTCTACTGCGCACACATTAGCCTTTTCTAATATAAGACGTTTGACATGTGTAGTCTTCATAATTAAAGATTATAAAATGCGTACTCGTGCAGCATAATTTCTTATTCAGATGATGAATAATCGTTTTCTTCAGTTGAAGGTTATTGAATCGTCGTAGTTATTTGCCAAAGAATGCTTAATATGAAAACATGAAACCATTTTTATTAGAATTTTAGAATTCCTTTTTAATATGATGGGTTGTTATTATTATTATTATATAATGCTCACTTCTAATTTCTGCAGACTTTAACGCCGAACGATGCCAAGGTGGGCCATGCGAGAATGGTGGGTTGTACTGTACTTATAGTCACAGTCATCCTGATCTGGGCGTATGCATTTGTCTGCAAGGAACATCTGGTGATTGTTGCTCTGTAATCGCTGGCTGCAGAGATGCTCTTTGTGGTCACAACAAAACAGCTGCTACTTGTCAGTTTGACGTAACCGAGAAGTTACCTGAATGCGTGTGTTCGGCGAGTGATGTAAAGTTTGATTACACACAGCAGATATGCAGAAGTAAAGTTCTTTTATTCTTTCCATTCACCTTGGTATCAGATCTCTGAGTATTCAATAAAAGACATGCTCATTTCAAATTTGAATTTTATCTTATGCCCAAATTTTATTAAACTGAAGATATTTCCTTGTAATATTATTTCTACTTAGATGATCATTTTTATTAGCAGTTTTGTTGATGATGATGTATTTGTAATTTCTTATGTACAATCTATTTGATATTATTAATGTCAAGAAAATAAATGATTATCTTAGTACAATTTTTGAAATCTCAGGTTAAGTGCAAAATTTTATACGTTTGATTACTAGCACAACAATTACATATAAAAAATAAAAAGGAGAAAAAATGCAAAATGTTATACATTAAAGTTGTTCATCTCACTGTTAAATTATTTATGGTTGCCTAAATAAGTGCATATGATGTGTACCTGTGAAAATATTTATAACCTATCTGTAGACGCATTTTGTATTTAAAGAACCTAAGAATCGTGAGAAGTACGGTAACTTAATTTTATTAGTAATTTCTAGCAAATTATCTTATATAATAATACGAAATATGATTTATAATGTTTTTATTTTTAAACATGCATCGATAGCAGAATGTTGTGATATGTGGTAAAGAGATCTCTCACTTTAAACGTAAACTTTACAATTGAAACTTCGATATTGCATTAAAAAAGGTACAATCCTTCTTATTACATACAAAATTATTTGGTTCAGTTTATGGTAAGAAAACATCCAATTACTTTTTATGCAAAGAACAATCTTATACTTTTAAAAGCACACATATTGAGAACAACATATGTACCATTCGCCGTTTAACCTCCAAATATAAATCTTATGTTATTTAAGAGTTTAGTAAAACGCAGAAGGTTATTCTCTCAAGTTAGATCATTTTCACAAACACTCAAATCCGGTTGCCAAACTTCGTCTACTGGCACCATTGCAGATGGTATGGAAACGATTCCGATGTCGTCTATGAAAGTAATTCATGCTATGCTTTCTTATCGTGAGTAAAGTGAAATCGCTGCTGTCATTTTTCCCCTGTAAAAGTCGAAATTTAACGTGCTTTATAGTGGAATTTAAAGGCGTGCAATAAATTACCAAACAAAACTGTGCCTCTGAGTTTTGCGGCAAGTTAAAAAAATAGTAAAAATTTGAGATAATGAAAATAGTGAACTTTGGAAAACGACTGGTTTGACTGTGGTTTAAGATGGCAAACACTGCGTATAGGTGGAGCCGAGAAGAGAACGTCTATTTAGATCTGCGAAGGATAAGAACATTGTGAAAACAGAAATATCCTGTAAAGAAGACAGGCAATTCTTTATTTTTGTGTTGCCAACTAAACATATTGTTGTAGTCGCAAAATATGATAATATAATCAAAAGACGCTTGAAAATGCTTCTTACGCTAATACCGAGTTTCGTTGTCTAATGATGAATACAAGCATCGCTGCATTCAGCACTATTAAGCATTTTTTCAACGCGTGATAAAAAATCTCAAGTTTTCTCACAAAATAATTATTATCGACGAATTGTGGATTAGACAGTAAGGTCACTAATCGTTGAAGCAATCTAGCTTATGTTCTGCAAAGTGATTCCAAGAAAGCAACTCACGGAAATGCCCAGGTACGTCAGATGAGCTACGAAAGCTTTTCAGTATTATAGTTTAATATAATGCAGAACAGATCCCGGAAGGGTTATGTGCATTAAAGATTAGCACGTACTAGGAAACTATAAATTTCTTGTTCACTTTCATACATCGGCTGGCATAAAATGGCCTGCTACATGGATTTGTAAAGCCAGTACGTCTCTGTAAATGGTCTGCAGAATGTGAATGCAGCTGTTGCACACGAATTAAATGATCAGACAAATTAAACTCATGCGTCCGCTTATACAATGAAAGCATTCAAAACAGCTTAACCAAATTTCGGAAAACTTATAAAATCGAATTAAACGTTAATCAATAATATAAGGCTTAATTTAAATTGCTAACAACCTAAAATATAACTTATGTTGCTAGCTGAACAATTCACGAGCGCATGTATTATTTTTAATAATTATGAGTTCTAAATGTAATCTTAGTAGGGATTGGTTTTATTGTTTCCTTTAGCTTACTTCTGCTGCTATCGTGAATTCATCAGTGTTGGTTCAGCAGTCATTTACAGTTGGCATCTCCATTAACAATATTAAATTCTTTAATTGCTGCATTAACGTTTTAAATTTTTAGTTATTATATGCATATATGTAAAGAAAAATCATTCAAAAATATTAAAATTTAAACAAGACATTTAGCTCGCATTGAGATTGAAGCAGTTTAATCCGCATACAAAGACAGTTTGTTGAACTAGTGGAAGTTAAATTGATGAATGCGAAGATGCTCCCATATCTAGAACGAGCAGAATGTTCAGTTTGTACAAATGCTAAAAAATAAAAATTCGACACAAATAAAATAAGAAGGACCTTGCGTGTTAGTTCGCTTGTCCCTAGTCCACCCCTCTTTTCTCAAAGCTAGGTTGACAATCGAAGGTTTCCTCAGCACATCTGCTAGCAATTCGGCTTTTGTGCCATTGCGGCGACCTGCAAAGACATAACAAAAAACTGAAACACGTGTTTTTTTTTTTTTTTTTTTTTTTTTTTTTGTATCCGCGTCCCACGCTATAAAGCCTCTCGATGCCCACGAAGTCTCACCTACCTGTGTTGATTACGTGGAGGAGGACGTAGTGAGTTTTGAACTGCTACTGAAAGCACGAGAGAGGATTCCGTACACGTGAAATAAAAGAAGGAGTCGTCGTAAGACATCGGCTCCCCCCGCATTTGCAAGGTGTTTGTTACCAATGACGGAATCGAGTTGTTTGCAGCTCGAAGGTTCTATAAATTTAGAAAAGATAATTGGTTGAAACTGTTGGTAGAAAATCTGTCTATAATTGGTAAAAGAAATTTAAAAGAATCGAGAAATAAAGAAATGAATGTGGCATAAAAAACAACACAGTTTTCATGTAAAACATTTTACAGTACAGTAAAAATACGTTGGTGATCTAAACAACACGAATTAAATAAAAGTGAAGTTAAAGAAAGTATAAGCCCATAAATAGTCCCCTGAAAGGAAAACCAAATGAATCCAAAATACAACCACCTAACGCATAAACTAGATATTACTTTATAACCTAGAGAACGGACACTGCTCAACATTGAAAATGCAACACCAAGAAGGAGTGGTCAGAAATTTATGCAAATTTTAGAATAGACGCACGCCCATGAGTTATGCTAATGATGTGAAATGCGCAGCTCTCCGATGCACGTGAAGTAAGATATAAGGGAAGGAACGTGCAGAATGGGCAATATTCGTGTCGTTATTTCTGCCAGACGAATTATCGAAGAATGTTAGTTTTTGTCCCGGAGGATACATGTAATAGAAGAGAATGCCAGGCCGCCGTCAACGAAGACACTTCCTGCAGATAGACGATTTTACGAGGGGTATGGTGATCGGACTGAGAAGGGCGGGTTGGTCCTTACGTCAAATCGCAGCTGATACCCACATGGATGCGAGCACGGTGCATCGGCTATGGCGAACATGATTGGAAGAAGGAAATGTGGGAAGAAGGAGGGGTGCAGTGCAGCCAGAGTGACGTCAGCACGCGTGGATCGACGCATCCGCCGACAAGCTGTGGCGGTCTCGCAAGTCACTTGGAGCGTGATTCTGCAGCATGTGCAAGAGACCATGGATGTTCCTGTGTCGACCAGAACCATTCCCGTCGATTGGTTGAACGTGGCCTGCACTCACGGCGTCCGTTAAGAAGACTGCCATTGACCCCACAGCATAGACGCCAACGTTTAGAATGGTGCCATACTGGAGCGATGTGGATGACAGAATGGCGAAACGTCGTGTTTTCAGATGAGTCACGCTTTTGTTTATCCAGTGACAGTCGCCGCATACGTGTGTGGCGTCGACGTGGAGACAGATCTAATCCGGCAGTAATTGTGGAAAGCTCCACCGCGCGACAACGTGGCATAATGGTTTGGGGAGTTATTGCCTACGATTCCAGGTCACCTCTATTTCGTATTCAGGGCACTATGACGGCCCAACGATACTTGGATAACGTACTGCGGCCGGTGGCAATCCCCTACCTTCAAGAGCTGCCTAATGCAATTTTTCAGCAGGATAATGCCCGACCACTCAGTGCTCGCATCTGGCAACATGCTCTGCAAGGTATACAGATGCTTCCCTGGTTACCGTACTCTCCTGACCTGTCACCAATCGAACATGTTTGGGATGTGATTGGACGCCGTTTGCAGACTCTGCTCCTGCCTCGTTCAGAAGACGAACTGTGGCAAATGGTTGAAAGGGAATGGAGAGCCATCCCTCAGGACACCATCCGTAGTCTTATTGACTCTATGCCTAGACGTGTTTCTTCGTGCATCGCTGTCTGCGGTGGTTCTTGTATCGTATCGTATTATGGTATTGTTTTGTATTGTATAGTATCTTATATCAGTTGGCTTTATACAGGTTAAATATGTTAATTTTTTTCATTATAATCGTTTAATTAGCTTTGTATTGTATTGTATTGTAGTATTGTATAGTATTGTATGGTATCTTATATAAGTTATCTTTTATGCAGGTAACTGCATCAATTTATTTGCTGCATTAGGATCACTGGTGTCATGACAATTTTAAATGTATTTTTGGTCACCAACACTGAATGTATTTGTATTTTCATTGTATAGTATGTATAGCATCTACTGTATCGTATTATATTGTGGTATCTACTGTATCGTATTGTATGTGGTATTGTATAGTATTGTATAGTATCTTATATCAGTTGGCTTTTAGTACAGGTTAATATGTTAATTTTTTTGTAGTGTATTGTATTGTAATATGTATAGTATTGTATGGTATCTTATATTCGTTAACTTTTATGTAGGCTAAATATGTATTTTTATTCCTCATAATCGTATAATTAGCCTTATTGCATGTTTTTCCCACAATACCACGTGATCAATGTATTGTACCGCTATTGCATTCTGTTACATTGTATTCTTTTATTTTTATTTCTTTTGGTATATCCTCTGTGTATTGCTGTAATCATTTCAACATTCATTATTCACTATGTTCTCTATTTTTATGTTATATTGTCATTAAGTCTAATTCTACTGTCTATATTTTACTCATTGTATATTATTGGGCTGCCCAACATCAGACTGTACTTTAGCTTATGTATATTCTATATTTGTGTGTATTACAACCTTGTAAAATTTTTGCTTATTGTCAAAACTCGCCCTTTTTGGCCCTGCATGCTTTTGTTATTTTTTTAATAAATGTGGGGCCTGGGCGGTTGTTGGGACTGTCTTTCGTGGGCATTTGGTCTGTTGGACGCCCCCGGGTTGAATTTGGCTCTGGGTTTTGGCGCCCGGTGCGTGGCGTCTTGTGATTCCTCTTTAGGCTCTAGATATAGGTGGACGTGGTGCTATACCGATTAACCTTTTGGTAAAGGGACAGTGCCCACGTCCTCCGTTGCTTATCGCTTATCCTACTGAGCCGACACCGTTCTCACTCTATATTCTGACTATCATTTTGAGATAAAAATCACTTATTGCTGCTTGCTGTCTCTGTCTTTTTTTTCAAATTTCATCACTTTCTGACCACTCGTTCTTGGTGTTGCAATTTCAATCACACGTGTACATTTTTCTTAGAAAGGATGTAGGTTTTCAATTTCATTAGCTATGTTTCTAAACTTTCATTTATACGCCATTAAATAAACAGAAGTTTTAAATTAAGCAAATATAAATAAAGAAAATTAACGAGTACATATGATATACCCCGACATAAAAGTAGAAAGCCTGGAAAAAATTGAAGCATGACCCAACCACAAATAAAGTTCATAAAGTTTGAACTCGAGATTCTTATATACAGATATTCAGATCCCATACAACTTGTCATCGAAAAGGAAAGCTAATGCACTCGTCGTTAGCCTTAGGCCTTCATTATCCTCCTGAATAAGTGAATAATGAACGAAAAATTTTATGTTATGGAACAAATTATTGCGTAATTGAATCCGTAAATTAGCAGTATAAATTAGTGCATCATAAGCGTTCGAACGCTTAGTTTCGAAAATCAGACCTTCAGCTGCAAATTTGGAAAAATATTATTTTTGCATTTATAGTTATGGAAACGTTCCGAACGAAACAAACAATGTCTCAGATATCTGATTTCTGGAGAAAGAAAAGTTCCAATTTTGATTATTAATTTCTCATTTGTATAATATTAAGTTCATCTGATATGTCCTTTTGTAAAGAAAGAATATTTTGTTCATTTGAAGAAAACGGCAACAAAATAGAAGAACAATATAGATAAATGTTAGAAGAGTGATTTGCAAACTTGAATAAGGCAAAGAGCTTCGTATGTTTTACACAGACGCAAATCAGTGTAAGGCAAAACCTAGTGGTTTTAACTCAGTAGTACAGAAACATGTTTTCAGAGTCAAACAGCGTAATCTAACAACGTGGGAGTTCCAAAGAATATGAAGTTTGACAAAAATCCAATTGTTACCTCTAACATCACCAGAAACAAAAACTAGGTACCTCTTTAACGAACAATGAAACTTAAATGGCTTCTTGTATTTTAATGCAAAAATAAAAAGATAATAAGTAAGTAACCATTTTCAGTTTTATTGATTGCACCGGGAATTTTGTTGCCATTATTTCCATCACTAATCCCATATATTTTTAGATCTCGAATTCTATGATATTTTCAGAATCATGTGAAAAAGACGATGACTGCTTAAACAGTGGTAAATGTACCGGACATGGCAAGTTCAAATTTTGCCAATGCTTGCCAGGTACAGAAGGCGACTTTTGCTCTGAAGTTACGGAATGTAAGAAAAACAATATTTGTGGAACAAGCAGGGAAACTATTTGCACGTATGACAATACTCAGATGCAAGCTACATGTAAATGTTTGGATCCTTCTAAACAAATTGATTACAAGGAGAAAATATGCAAAGGTAAGGTTTTATGTTTTTCAGTTTTCTTTTCAGTATCACACGTAGACATAAAGATCAAGAAATTAACTCGTCAAGAGTAAAAATTTACTAATGTTTCACTGAATTTTGAAAATTCAATTCTCTGCGCCTTCAAATAGTAATTTTCTTTTTAATTTACATTTTTATTATGATTTTAAATTTTCTCGTTAGCCTTGCATGATAATTTTCATGAAAATAAATCCTTATTATAAAGCAATGCCTTTTCAGAATTTCTGTAAAATAAAAAGCAAAGATAGTCTTTATACTGACTAATTCAAGTATAAATTTCTTGTTTCAATATTTGAAATCTGATATTTCAAAATTTGATGTCTCTAAGTACCGTTGTTCTTTCAAAGTGCATTCATGCAGATTTTTCATTATTTAATTTCTTTAAATACAATGCAGGGCTCTAATATTTGGTGGCGACAATTTCAAGAATGAAACTCCGTTTATAATAAACAAACTCAAAATGCTAAAACGAAGTTAATAACCCTTCTGGGCAAATTACCCCTTTAGACTAATAAGAATTAAACAGATGAATAAATACTGAGAAGATACTAATTTAGAAGTCAAACAACAAAAATCAGCGTTATATTTACAAATTTTCACAACACTAGTTTCGATAGATTTACCGAACCACCCTCCTCAGCTGCAAAAGCGCAAATGAACAAGAAACAATATAGTGATTAGATGAGAAAGGATAAGAAAGAACGGACAAGCGTCAAGCTACTGGCGCCATTTGTTGGTGAAACCAGAACTAAAACATAATTTCTTTAAAGGCGGAAGGCAAAGATGGATTCGAATTAGGGTCGTTATCTATACCAGAAAGATTTTATTAATGTGAAATGCCTCTAGAAAATCCAATTCACCAATGAAAGATGTTTTTTGAATAATTTTGGCTGAAAAAAAAAAAAAAAAAAAAAAAAAAAATTGAAAGCGTGATTTTCGGACCAACAATGCTGGTCAACAGAAGACTTCTGCGTTTCCTTTTTTCTAACATATGCCTTATGTTCCTTAACGCGGAATTTAAAGGCTCTCTTAGTTTGACCAATGTAAATTAAAAAACACTGGCAAGGAATCCTGTAAATAGCCCAGGAATTAAAATCATTCAAATTTCAGCCTTTAAAGAAATTATGTTTTAGTTCTGGTTTCACCAACAGATGGTGCCAGTAGCTTGACGCTTGTCCGTTCTTCCTTCTCTTTTCTCATCTAATCACTATATCTTATCTAAAAACCTCGTGGTGACGAATTATTCTCCACCACCCTTTCAGTTCGGGCGCATTGTAGAGTCACTAGTTTAATTTGAAACAAGAACATAAAAAATGAGCAGTGTCCTCTCCGGCACTCGAGGCTGGACTTCTCAAATACTTGCCGAGTTTGCTATCGTTATACCACGAAAGCATGCTGGAAGGAGGTAGAAAATATCTTATAAGGTGGCAATACGATTTTGCCTAGTTTCACCCCCATTCTGAGGCAAGGTATCCCGGGTATCGGAAGGTTTTTCTACCCCTCATTCCCTACCACCAAACCGTACAAGAGCACATCCAACTTGCCATATATTTAGAGTGCTCCCATGACGCAAAGGAATTATACATTTACAAACATCCGTTCCTTCTCCCCGATTCGAACACGGGACCTAAGCACTGTCTCGTTTGGGCGGCTTAAAGAAGATATACATTTAATATCAAAACTGCATTTTTCATCAGATATTTAATAAAAAATATTTAATTTAGACGGCTTCTTTAAATCATCTTTACTTTCCAATTATCTGTGCTAAAAATAGCAATAGGTGTGTAATAAATCTTTCTAAAACTCATCATTTTAAAATTAATACATGATTATGATTCTCACGAGACTATTACATAATGTCAGTAATAGAGATACTTATATTACTGCAAATATCCCTAGAAATAAAGTAAAATCGTAGCTTCGATAGTTTTGATAGACAGATATAAATTTTGCAGGTAGACAAATACAAATAGACAAATACAAAATGATTATGTTATTAATCAACATTATATTATTACAAATAATATCATATTATAACAATTCTTTGAGAACAGCGTAATCTTCTCTGGACTCAAATAATATCTTTCCACCTACAAATGTTTCGTCCTGCATTTTTCTTCATCACATGTTATAATGCAATACAAACGTGATTATATGCTTATAACTGTTGAATATAAGAGACTCGTCTTACTAATATTTATTTATGTCTTTAGAGCTTTAAATATGTTTTGCCAGGAATAACAAAACACGTATCAACCAGCCATATTGTCATCATTACTGTAATGATCCAGTTGTCGCAATTGACGTGAAACACTTTATTGCACACCGGCATGTAAATACATTATATGCAGGTATACATACAATAATGGAAAATAAAGTATTACGTTTAAAATCCACCCCATATTCAATTCGGACCAAACTCTACGTAAGCAAAAGACAACAGAAGCACAATGGTAAACTGCATGCAAGGAGTCAGAAATACAAAAAATTAAAAAAAAAAAAAAAAAAAAAAAAAAAAACGAAATTTACATCTCTTGCTGCGTCATCATCAGGGAGTTGGTGCAACGAAAGAGGTATATACATCAGCCTGTTTCTGAACCAACAAAGACACAAATTCAAGTTTACTACTTAAAACTAATCTCTGAAATTTAATCAAAGTGACTTGTGTCTTTATCAGTTAAAGCCCTACAGGCAGTAGTAGAGTAAAAATTTGAAAAATTATAGCATCAAAACCATAAAAAAGAAAAGTTAAAAATATAAAAAAATTGATTTTGGCTAGAACAAATACTATAAACAAACATGTATAACCTAACGCTAAATGGCAGCAGTCAAAAACATTTTGAAACATCTGACATCTGAACCGTTAGTTAAAGAGATTCGACAGATTTTTGATGGACATAACTTTTCCTCTTATTCAAGAGTAATTGCTTTATGTTACCTTTATTACTTTTGACATGTAATTCTTCCGTGTAGTGTTTTTCTTTATAATTATAATTCTTTCTTATTTGCTTGGTTAAATGTAAAGTTTGCATGGCCCTCTGGTCATAAACTGGCAGCCCAACAGTGGGCCCGAAGCCTAAAAAATTTAAAACTTATTACCGAAAGCGGAGCGCAATTTTTTTCTTCGATCTCTTCCTGCGTTAAAAGAAGAAAATTACCACCCTGATGATATGGAAAATTTTGATTTTTGACGATCTGGAAATTAACAGCCATCCTAGGAGTGAAGGATTAATCCAGTGTCCTTGCGTTTATCGTAAAGCAATCATGCAGTAAGTAGGAATTGTATTTTATACAAAGTTAAATTGATTATGATAGTTTAACATAGAGCAAAAGCATGTTTAATTTTGTAAGTAAAAGAAATAATATTTGAGAATCAAAAAGAAATGAATCAACAGAAGGAAATGACTGAAAATATGTCATTAAAACTCAAAGTTACTGGAACGGATGTACCAAAGAATAAATGTGGAAATTCTCCAGATCCTAAATTCAATCTTATTAGTCTCAGTTATCATTGATTAGAAAAGAAATCTTGAAGTCTATTGAAAAACTACTGCAAAAAATGGAGCAACTCATCAGAGGCTTGGAAGAAAAAAAAATAAGACCTTGATGATGAAGTGGAGGAAACGGTTTAAAAACTGAAAGGCTCTAGTTCTACAACAGATGATTGTTCTAGTAAACGTTTTTATATTATCATAAGAAACGAAATTCAAATTTAGAAAAGGAAAATAAGTGGCTCAAAAATGTGTTGCATTAAGTGCAGTCGTCTAGCAAAAGTAATGAAGATAAACAAAATAGTAATTCCACAGGTGCTGTCAAAGTTGCCTTCGAACTATTCTGACATTTTCAAAATTTTTACTTTCAAAGTTCCTTTTATAGTAGGATGGATCTGATATTGTGATTTGGCTTTTAGAATTCGAGACTCGCTTCAAACAGGGGGAGATCCAACCCCATATAATGAACTTTTCAAGAACTGATCTATGTTAAGTGAATCATTCCGATTCAGTGATGTTTCAGGGAATCATCCCGATTCAGTGATGTTTCAGGGAATCATCCCGATTCCATGTTAAATGAATCATCTCGATTCAGTAAAGTTTTAGGGAATCATCCTGATTCCATGTTAAATGAATCATAACGATTCTGTGAAGTTTGAGTGGAATAACTCTGATTCCATGTTAAATGAATCATCCCGATTCATTAATGGTTTGGAGAATCATCCTGATTCTGTGCAGTTAAATCAATCATTTCAAACTCGTCATCAAAAGATTCCCGGTTTACTCTTCATAGAGATGAATGTGAAATATCTTGCGGACTCTTCGTCGAGACGTCATCAGAGCCCGAGGGGGAGTCTATAACCTAACGCTAAATGGCAACAATCAAAAAAATTTTGAAACATCTGACATCTGAACTGTTAGTTAAAGAGATTCGACAGATTTTTGCATGGACATAACTTTTCCTCTTATCCAAGAGTAATTGCTTTATGTTACCTTTATTACTTTTGACATGTAATTCTTCCATGTAGTGTTTTTCATTAAGAAGAAGGAAAGAAAGGAAAATCTCCTGAAGGTTGGGGATCGTCTTCAAATAGTTGGAAATTCTATAAGGTATATCTCCCGCTTTCTTATCATGCCTTTTTGGTGTAGTGGTCAGCACACTCGGCGCGTATTCGAGAGGTCCGTGGTTCAAGTCCCGGGGAGGGCATTACTCATTTTTCATCTCTCCTTACTTTCAAAAAATACCTAATGGTTCTTCAAATTAAGACGCCGCTGTGCTCGTTGTACACAAATGAACATAAAGAAAAGAATAAATATGAATTGCCCAATACATAATGCTGGGTTATGGAAAGAATGCTTTAACCTTCAAGATATAATGTAAATCTATTTCATACAAAGGTATGCTTATAATAAGTCGATAGCTAAGTGCGACATTTATATTTTATCATTAACTACGGCTGGGAGAGATGTGTCTCAGCCTTTGGCTAGAAAAGTGTTTGTCAAAAAAATCCCAAATGCTAAATTTTATTTACGACATATTTTGTTCATTTGGATAGAAAACGGGGTAATTTTTTTTTTTAATTCGTAGTCTAGACGTTAATATGTTTTTAAACGTAAATAGAAAAATACATAATGCTATGCTATCATTACAAATATTTTTTCAATGTTACTGTGTTGAACTCTTATAACTATTTACTTTTTTCCTTATGACAGTAGACATCTTGAAGGATAAATTCAGCAGCAAATTACTCTTATTATCCAAGACGATTATCTCTCAAACAGACCATTAGTTATGAGTGCATTATATCGAAACTGAACATAAAAAATACTATTGTTGTTTAAGACGACAACCTGCCGCAATAATCTTCGAAATGTAGGCGGTTCTTCTAAGAAATATCACGATATGTTTTTCGCCATTCCCTAGCAATATACAGAATGTTCATAAAAGAAATTCTCGATATATGTACCCTTAGCGGCTTATCTGCTCAACCAATCGAAAGGAAATTTCAAATATGTCAGATTTAATTTCACATTTAATTTAATGTAATTCAGATTAGACACCAACTTTTTTTCTGCGCAAATTAGTCAAAGCGTGAAAAAACCCTACATAACGTTGATGACTCTATCTTGAAACGTTGTACATGTTAAAACTGGTGACTCCAATTTCTCTGCGTTCAGAATGCATGTAATTGTTATTAGAAGAATCAACTTCGTTACAGTCTCCAATTCCAAGAATGTTATTTCACATTTTTCTATACAAATACCGATTGGCGAAAAACTTCTGTCATTGTTTCCACCGTGTATTGACATTTTTGGGACTTGTGGCTGTGCTGTTTCATTGAAATAAACTGAGAAATCGTTATTTTTCTTATATGGTATTCACATGACTTTTTAACTGTAATTTAAAAATCATTCTAAGCAATAAACGTACCCATGCTAAATTCATTAAATGAATCCCATATCCCCCCTTGTGTTATCATTGGTCTTGTGTTATCATGTTTTTCTTTGCAAATGTTTTAAGCGGCCATTTTCATCATGCTTGTATCGTTCGATCACCATTTATGGTTTTTCAATACGCTGATAAATTTGGGCAAGAAAAATGTAGATGATGCCTTTCGAGAAATTCAAATGTTTTCACTGTAACCGTAACCGGAAGAGCTCTATTATTTTAAATCATCACAGTCTCGAGTGCGCATCATTTTCAAACAACAATATTTGAAATTTCATAGGTGTTTATATATCGAGGAAGTTTTTCTATGAACAACCTGTACTTCGCGTATTCAACAGACGTATTAAGTTTAGTTGATCTATTTTGCCTTTTGACTAATTTTTTATGAACAAATTGGTAATTTAATCAGTTGCTAATTTAATTCAATCAAAGCACAAGAAGCCTGTTAGCACACTTAAGCCATTAGTCACTTTTCGAATGTCGGTAATTTGATGCTTCCAGTGCACACACTATGACGAAACCAGAGTTATACACTTATTCCATTATTCACAAAAATGAAGTTGCGCGAACTATACTCTTATTTTGCTAGATATATATTAAGTTATTTTTATGTGGATTAGTTTTATTGCTGAAAATTGTAGATGCACTTGTGACATGTTGCTATTTTTATACGACCATGGTATTTTCAAGTTCTTTATTTCATGCTTTATTTAAATCCAGTTTTGGAATATTTTCAGGGCCGTGCAAAAATGATACTGACTGTGAAACTGGACACAAATGCATCGGAGATAAAGCTTCGAAGTTTTGTGAGTGCGAACCAGGAAAAACCGTTAACTCTTGTTCTCACGTGAAGGACTGTCATGAACCCGATTCTTGTGGTATAGGGAATGACACTACGTGTGAATACTATACTGTTCAGCGAAAAGCTAAATGTCAGTGCTTGAATTCCAATAAGCAGTTTAATTATAGAGAGAAAATATGCCAAGGTAAGATTATTTATTTCATACAAAACATTCAAATTTTTTGTTGCAGTATCAATTGAGTAACCTAAACGCCTACATTTCGCATCTTGCGAATATTTAATTGAAGAACTGAAGATTTACTATATCTGTCTGTTTATCTATCTATTTAATCTCTTTCTCTCTCTATATATATGTAATAATGCAACTGTCATATTCAGTTCTCCTTAAAATAATTTGATGACATCATGGTATTTTTTCGAAATTTTGAAAAACATCTGGAACATCTTAAAATATAATTTGATATATATGTAATGAAAATATAAAATGAAAACATTTTGGCACATTAATCGTGCCTTTCCAAGAAAATAAAAATTTTTTATATTGTTACGATAGGAAAAAACAGCGTCTCAGCTTCTAAGCGGCAACAGAGGTAAAAGCAAAGTATGCTGTTATCCAATATGGCAGCTTATTAAGGGAAATTTTACGTTTCTCAAAATTCTGATTAAAGTTCCGAATTAGCGACGTCATGATAGTTATGAAAAAGTCATATGATAGGATTAATCTAGACATGTCGCAGTTCGGAACGCCCAAATAAAAATGAGGAATTAAGGAGCTATAGCGAATTTAAATTATACTAAATTTACTTATTTCTATCTTTATATATATACATATATATACTTGATATCTTGTATCTAGCACCCTCCCCCCAACCATCAGCAAGCTAGTCACGATGATCTGTTGGCGAGGACGTGCCAAAATTTTGATTCAAAGTGTTAATGTCTTATTGTATCATATCATTATTTATATTGAATTGTATCGCAATGTTTTCTATTGAATTTTTACATTATTTTAAAATATATCTATGTATTGTTAATTACCTACGATGAGAAGAATGAATGCACATAATACATTATTTAGAAATAGTATAAATTGTATATCTTCTAAGTTTATATGAAAAGAAAATTTTTAAATATCTTATTCAAAAATTATATTGAATCATATTATTGGAAAAAGCGATAATATTTGTGAACTTATTAGTCCACAGGATAAAAATAAGCTGACTTATTGGCTTCAAGAGACTTCAACCAATAATTTCATTCAAACTATTTTTCGGAAAAGGACTTTAAAACGAAATAAATAGACCTTTTAAGAAAATCTGAGGACTTTTTATGCTTGTAATTATTATTATATTCTTCCATATAAAATTTAGTTATATATTTATTTATAAATCATTGTAAAACTATATAATTCAAAAACTTTATACTTATATAAGAAAAGATCATGATTTATGATAGGACATAGGTAAAGCCTGTAAGCTATGTCCTGGATGTTTGTTCATGCCTTTCCTCATATTTCCTGCTTCACTAATCTACTAATGCTTTGCTCATCCGGCCTCTTGTTTTTTTTGGGGGGGGAGGGAGATGTAAAATATAAAAAAATACGATGGCTTTGCTCTACGCGAACACGCAACCTCCAATTAACTTTCTACGATTGTATCTTTGCCCTAGACCAGTACCTTCTAGAATATGCTAGCCTATTGCGAAACCGCTACTATAAATACCGTGTATGCGCCATTTTGTTATTCAGGCTGCTTCCTAATATCGCTGCTACAAGATTGTGAGCTGCTCTGTTCATCTTTTTTTCCTTTGTTAGAAATAAATTCACAGAAAGTTTAAAAGGACGCAGAAAGTTTAAAATCAATCATACTTAGTTAAAATCACTATGGATATATAATTTAGAGAGTTTTCATCTAAAAGAAAAATTATCTGCTAATTAAGTAAAAATGTGCAGTTAAAAGCTAAATTATCAGGTTTCGTCATCTGAATTTCGCCTTACCACTCTGCAAAAGCCATGCCTGAACTTTGATGCCAAGCTTCCTTACAACTGTTGGAAAATATCATATATATATATGTCTTATATTATTTTATTTATAAGCTCACACATTAATTTTATTATTTATAAGCTTACACACAGGAACTTTGTTTTATGAGCATGAAGCCCTAATTCATACATTATGATTATTGGTGCGATCACTTTTATGAATGTCTAATCGGTTTTTCATTCCGTTTTCATGTTTCAAAATTTATACCTATAAATTATGTTTTGTAATATAAAAAGTTTAATTAATTTGGCTATTATTGTTTAAAATTAAAATAAATCTAGTTAACAATGACTATGAGACAATACCTGTAACTCTTGGTAATGAGAAGGTGCGCCAATTCATCCTGAACTGTACTGAAATGTGTGTTTCATAAATGTCATTTACTAAGTTTCTAAGCTTACTTAGTTTCTAAGCTATACTTCTAATTACCTATAAAATACACCTATAATGATACAGCTAAAATACACTTATAAAATACACCTGAAATAATACACATAAAATAATGCAAAACGAAAATCCTACTCTTCTACATAAATAAACTTATGTGTACACAAAGAAACGTTTTTATTTTACAATTAAAACATACAGTTTAATAAAGATATAGGGAAAAAAGGAAAACGTTCCAATTTATACCTTCTTTCTAACCCGGACACTCTAAACTGAGGGTGTTAGGAAACAAACTATCAAAAATATATGCTCAGATTAAAGCGCTTCGTTATGATTTATTTTGATATGACCTTTTCTATTATATTCATTACATATTACACATATTCATAAATATACAATTTCATAACATTTTCAGAGCCATGTCGAGATAATGATTGCGAAAACGACGGCAAATGTACCGGTATCGGAGATTTCAAATTCTGTGAATGCTTGCCGGGGACAGCGGGCGACCTGTGCTCTGAAGTGACAGATTGTAATGAAGCTGATTTCTGTGCCGAAGGCAACGATACCACGTGTATATATAATAGCACTCGTCTAGAAGCTATGTGCCAATGTTTGGATTCTAGCAAGCAATTTGATTACACGGAAAAAGTCTGCAGAAGTATGTTCTACGTTCTCCTTTTTCTATTTTGTATCACATTAGAACTGATTGTTCTGTTAAAAAAAAACTCATACATATTACATTTTTACTAATGTTTCAATGAGCTTCGAAAATTGTTTTATTTGTCTCTTAAACTGTTTATTTTCTTAGTAAAAATTGTTCTTTAGTTTAATATAAAATATAATTTTGCAGCGAGATTACTTTAAGTGAGTAAGCCTAAAGTTCAAAAGAAATCATTCTATTCTATATAACATTAGCACTGACTGGTCAGTGAAAAAAAAGCTCATTACTATTTTACTAATGTTTCATTGAGCTTTGAAGTTTATTTTTCCTTTTTTCTCCATGTTTATTTTTTTTTCTAAAAATTATTCTTTAATTGAATATAAAATAAAATTTTCCAGCGCTATTACTTTAAGGAAGTAAACAATCAGTTTCAAGACATGGATAAATTAGAATATCGACATTTTATGCTTATGACTCTATCTAACATATCTGGGTAAAAATATCTTCTTTTAATCTTTGAAGTTAAATTATAATTCTTGTAGCTTTCCGTTTCACCGTTATTTTTAACTCATTTCTCTTAAGATAATATTCAAAGTTTGTCGAAAATATATATGATACATATACCGTTAGTCGAATAAGAGCAAACTTGTTCTTTGTCAGAGTTTCATCTAGGTGTTTGAAAGAGATTAGGTTAGGTTTTTGAGTACGGCAAATCACAATGAGGGCTAGCTGGTTGAACTTCTATTCACATTGCACAGAGGAAAAGGTCACGAAAACTCTCATGTAGCTGTCCGTTTTCCGAGATTAGAACCTACATCGAACTGACAGTATTATGGGCGTTCACCCCTCGGCAGCATTTAGAAAACGAAATTGGATTTTCCATTTCAACGGAGAAGAATCATTTTTGGGCACTTTTACCCTCATTCCATGAATTAATTTCACAAATCCTTCACAGAAAGTGACTGTAAATTAAGAGCTTGGAAGGGGCATTCTAATTCGACCCATAGATTCTTAGTGGAATTAATATATAAGTAACCTGGCAACCCACAATAATTGCGCAAGTAATTGGAATGTTCTTCAACCCGTCTAGACAGCAATAGCGTGGAGTATTTATCGCGCTGAAAAATGGCACAAATTCAGAAAATTGCTCTTAAAAAATCTAGCAGACTAGTACATCCACATATTTGTGCCCATTAATAAGTTTTGCGGGGTTTTAGACATCTTTCGGAAACCTATCAAAATTATATAAACGGTTTGTATAATTTTACTACCGACAAGTTACTATGGCAAGTCGTTACAGATTAGTACGAAATGGTAACGAAGCATTAACTTTTTTATGATATTTTGTGAAAAAATATTTTCGGTTGAGACATTTGGCTGCATGTCTTTTACAAACGGAAATGACGTACAAGAAACGCATGCTTGCAAAACTTTGGTATATGCTTCTGTAGGGAAAGGATTCAAATATTATTCTTTAGTGGAAGATCTTTCTACCTCCAGACTCGTATGCATGTTGGCAGAAGCAGAACAGCATCGACAGTGAAGCTCCGAGTATAACAGAGTGTTTTTAATGTTTTTTTTTTTTTTTTTTTTTTGGTTTGTACGTTGTTTTGTGACGAAGCATAATGATAAATGTAAAGTCTGTTGTTGAGTTACTGACTATAAGGAAAAAATTCTCAGCCTTTCATACCTATAAACCTATTCATGTACACTTCGCCAAAAAAAAAGGGAAGGTGAGGGGAAAGTTCTACATCTCCCGTTCTACTGGGCCGATTGACGAAATTCAACTTGCGTTTTTCATGTCTTGAAAGCATGACTTAGGATATTTATTAGATTTATACATAGCATTGTTTTAATATTGGTACTTGGACACAAAATCGGACTTTTTCTGAAATGCCATGCCAGTTTTTCCATATTTCTATGACTCAAATTATGCCAAACTGTCAAGTTTGAAAAAATCGCACGAGTACTCTTTAAAAAATTAGCTCTCAAAATTTTAGCTCCTCCATGTTAAGTGAATTTGTTATATATTTATTAATATCTCTATTTTTTACTAAACTAATTTGATTCTTTCTTTCACATTTCGAAATTTAGGTTCATTCCTAATAAAATTCGTCCATTTTTTTAAGATTTATTTTTTAAATTTGTATTTTTAAATAATTTTTCGAAAACGTTTGATCTATAACCTATAAACATTTTATAATGATATTAAAGTAGACGTATTTCTAAGCATACCTGCAAAAAATGAGAGTTTTTATTAAAAATCTCCTAAGATATACGTGAATTTACATATTGCGACGTTTTGAAATTTGGCATATTTGCTATAAGCGATAATAACGCCAAATGTGTTTTACGCACTTTATCAAATTTATTTGAAAGTATGAACAATGATCATTTTTCCGCTCGTGTACAATGAAAAAATTAGGTTGCTATAAATTTAAAAGATCGTCAAGTGGCGCCAAGATAAATTTTATAATTTCTCCGTAAATTCGGCACCAAATTTTCTAAAATTTAATATTTAGGCATAATTTGAGTCTTAGAATCAAAATAATGAAAACAATACGCACGTCATTTCAGAAAAAGTTCGATTTTGTTTCAAAATACCTATATTACATTAGCCTACAATATATTTGTGTCAAAATACATATATTCCCACATAGCACAAAAATATCCTTGGGATATCCCGAGGATGTTGCTCACGGGATATCCGCACATCCTCAGGACATCCCGGAATATCCCGCGAACCTCCTAAACACCTCCTCCCGAGTGCTTAATGTCACATCCCGGGATATCCTCAGGACATCCTAACGAAGTCCCATTGACAGCGTGCGGGATGTTATTAGATATGAACTCCTACTTACTACATCCTCAGGACATCCCGGGATATCCCACTAACCTCCTAAACACATCCCATTATATCCTAAAAACATCCTATCTATGTCCCATCGACAGCGTATGGGATGTTATTAGGATTTAAAGTCCTACTTACTTAATCCTCAGGACATCCCGTAATAACCCAGTTTCCTCCTAAACTCATCGTCCCGAGTGCTTAATGTCACATTTCAGTATATCCTTAGGACATCCTATCTAGGTCCCACCGACAGCGTATGGGATGTTATCAGGATTTGAAATACTAGTTACAATATCCCTTTAACCTCTTAAATACATACTCTCAACTGCTTAATGTTACATCCCAGTATATCCCCAGAAATCTTCTTTATATTCCAGTGAAAGTGTGTGAAGGTGTTGTGATAACCTGAAACTTGCTTATTTTCCACAGACAGTCTCAGGTCCTCCATCTGTGGTTACTATGGAAAAATAAGAAATTTTAAGAATATTTATACAATTTTATTTTCTAATTTGAATTTCAATTTATTTAATAATTTGTAAATATATCTAAAACTGAGCAAGAGACTTGAAATGAATTATTAATACAAAATATTATAAGAGAAAATTTTGCTTTAAAATATTAAAAATCTTTCGATCATTTTTAACCATTCAATAGCCCAAAACTGAATTCTTCGATATATTCATAATTAAATTATTCTACAAATTCAGTTCTGACTTCAGTTAATTTGTATTCAAAATTCAATAATAAAATTAAGCATTTAATAACCTTTAAGTAGTGGACCAGATGTGTGTAAATTTTGAAATTCTGAACTTAAGTCGGTTACGTTGATTGAATCATTATTCATGGCTACAATACGATTAAACAGTTCATGAGTTCGTCTTGCTATTTGCTGTAATGGAGCGGAAGATTTTCTTTTCTAATCAATTTTTTATAGAAGATATATAGCTTTCAAATTTAAATGCACTGTAATTATCTAACGGCCCAAACATTTTTACATCTTCGCAAATATGCAGTAGGCCGTGAACATTATGAGCAATATACTGTTTTTCATAATAAAGCCCAAAATTTACTACGAAGAGTTTTAATAGAGACTGTGCGTATTCATCAATTGCCGTCTGATTCTGTATTTTGCATAAGAGTCTAATCGAAATATGAAGTAGTAAAAAATGATCATGTAGCTTTTTGTTAAAATTAAAAAAAAAATAATAAATAAAAGTGGGCTAGTGTACAGTAAAAATTGACGGTATTCTGTAGCTTTCCAGTGTTTCAATTCTTTTAGAGTTGGTTCCTTGGTTTTCTTGCAAATTCAATTGGTACATAAGGCTTTAAAAACTGGTCATTTAAAAAAAAAATTAGTTCAACATTTTTTATGTGGTAATCGTGCTTGTAAGGTGCCTCCGCCTATCCTAATAGTAATCATTTTTTGTACTACTCCTAAGCACACAAGGGACATAAAGTCTAACGGAATATTTATTAGTCCTATATTTGGAATATTCCTTAAAATGGGATAATCGTTTTGGTAATCGTCATCAGTCAGTTCTTCTTGAGACATAAAAGTTCATATTTCGAATCACAGTTTGAAATGGAACTTAAAGAATATTTGCTAGCGCGAAAATTCGACACAGTCCTTTTTCATAATTAAATACTACTTCATCTTCTGACGAATCCGATAATATACGTTGATTTATTCTGCTGTAAATCCGTCTTTTAGATATCTGAGAATCATCATTTTTGTATAATAATTTTTGTATAATAAAGGAAACATTTTGACTGATCATTTTTGTATAATAAAGGAAACATTTAGAAACTTACTTTTCACACTCTGTCAATGTAACGCTTGCAAGCGTCAGCAAGTCAGTTCGTAACTGAAAGAGAATTTGGAATGACGGCTATTAACGTTTAGCAGAATAGCTGAATTCTGGAAATCAGAAAGTAAGTACGTGTACTTTTCACTTTGTGGGGTTCTTCAAGGATATCACTATTATGGAGCAATTAAAACCGTTGGGGGCGTTCTGCGACCTTTGTTGTAAAGGGATGTTTCCCTTGTAGGGGGATACAAAAGAAGGGAAGGTCTGACACATAAATCTGCCACGTTAACAAAAGAGAAATCTTCTTGGGGCATCGGCTACAGAAAAAGTGGGTGTGC